CCTGTATCTGACCGACCCGTCACTGGCAGACCTGTATCTGACCGACCCGTCACTGGCAGACCTGTATCTGACCGTTCAATTGCTTAACCAATTTCATCGTATCAATTTATTTTTCTATAAATTGATAATTAAATTATATGATTATTAGTTTTTGAAAAATGTAGTTAATCTAAATTTAATACAATCGAGATTTCAATAATAAAATAAATACTTATTTGTTGCATAAAATTCAATTTTAATATGTACTAATAATAAATAGTACTAAAATTATTTAAATTATTACTTAAAATTTATTAAATTAAATATTCTAATTGCAACATGTAAATTATGTAATTAAATAAATAACGTTTATAAATGTTATAACATATGTGAACACTAGAAGCTAGTAAGTAAAATTGTTTGTGTAAAGTTATATAACATTTTTCTATACAATCCCTATGGAAATCATATGAACAGTAATCTATTTGAAGTGCTGTACAATTCACAAAATATTGTATATAAGATTAGAAAATGGCAATAGATATATAAACCACCTGTATCCTTCGTGGAACAATTACTTTATAAAATCATATGCAGTATTCAACATATAAATTCATGAATGAGTAAAATGTTAAAGTTTACATTATTATTTGTTGGCCTAATTGTGCTTGCTTATGGCGCTTATATGGGCGAGAAATTTGTGCAAGATCTAAAGGGAGACCTTTGTTATCAGGGTATCGCAAATCAGGCCTTAAACTGCGCCAAAGCTATTAATCAAACCATTGATATAACGAAAGATGATTTTGGTTTTCCTAATGTCAAAGACAGATGTGTCGGCTATTTTATATTCCTGGACTGTGTCAATAAAATTGGCAAGGTAATTATGTTTAAACTGACCAGTTTATAATTAAGTTATACTATTGTAATATATTAATGTAATTTTATAATAATCCATAATGAAATTAGAAAATAATTTTATTTTAATGTTGCAGAAAAAATGTGATAAGGAGAAGTTTGATAAATTGTACCATTTAATTTACGAAACGGACATGCGCCTTTTGACAAACGAGTGTAAAAGTTAATTTATTTTGTTTGGTTGGCAACAAGAAATTTATTTAATCTAGAACATTGTAGTTGATTAAAACATATAAATTACATTTATAAAAATTAATGTTAATTTACATTAAATAACTAATTGTAAACACCTTTTGATTAATTAATTTTCTTTTTATATTTATCTATAATATTGGAAAAATTGATTTATTATATTTGTTAAATTAATAATGAATGCTTAATAATAAATACTTTGCGCTATTAAATTACAAATAATAATCAATTGGGTTAAAAACACGGTACATACTGTATATAAGTTGTACTTAACAAACAATAGAGTAAATTGCTTCATAATTATAATATTAATTATATAATTGTAATTTATAATTATAAATTCACAAATGAATCGATCGATCACTTTCTGGTCTCAACCGACAAATACATTGATTGCAAAGTCTTGAGAACGGGAAGAGTTTTGACCGCCGGAGGGATAACTGTTTGGTCACTAATTGTGAACCGGAAGCGCTTCAACACCAAAGCCAACGCCACCTTTGCCTCTAATATGGCAAACGATTGGGCGACACAAACCCGGGGCCCGACACTGAACGGCACAAACGTGTTATCAATTATATTGTGACGGTTTTGGGGCAGAAAACGGTCGGGAATGAATCGGTCGGCCGACGGGAAGTAGTCATCGCAATGGTGTGTGGCATATATGGCCACATCCAAAGTCTGACCCCTTTTCACTGTGATGTCAGTGCCGGCGAGTGTGATGTCTCGGGCGGCCACTCGTCGCGCCCGTAAGGGCGACGCCAACAGACGGAGCGTCTCTTTGATGACAGCGTCCAGTAGTGGCAGTCGTGCCAACGCGTCGGCATTGATTGGGCAGCCGTTGGTATTATTGGTGTCTGTCGTGACGGCGGCGCAGATCTCGTCGTAGAGAGTGTCCTGAATGTCGGGCCTGTGGGCCAACTCGTAGGTCACAAGCGATAACATGTTAGACATGGAGTCAAAAGCGGTGGCGAACACGAAGAATGTCTGCGGCAACAGATCCCGAAGGGTTAACCGCCTGTCGTTTTGGTTGTTATTTGTGTCATTCAAATGTCGGTCATTTACAGTCTGTTTGGCTGTAAAACCAAAAGTAAAAGCATTTATATATATATATAATATATTGAGAGAGAGAGAGAGAGAGAGAGAGA